CAGATCACTCCCAAGCGCTAGTGCAACCAAGTTAGGATCAGTTTCCGCTGCTTTAATGAACGTTAGAAGTCCTACCATTCCAAACTGATCAGTCACCATTCCACCGGGAATATTAGTGATTTTACCTGCAATGCAAAATATTTCATTATACCACAATTTACTGAAAAAATGTTTATAGTACTGTAGTAGGAGGAAGAGTACAGTTGGGATTATTACATGATATCTAAAAGAGTTCACTTGATGACACGGTTTGAAAAAGTCACTAGAACCAAAGGATTACAGTTGATGTACTGTCTAAAGATATACTGGGTTAGATAGATAAACTTACCATCTTGGTGCATTTGTATTCCTCTTTTTTGCTGTTCATTTGGTTTATCTCCAGAATACCTTGCCGACACGTCTTTGTTACCAAGTCCTGTACCATCATACGCACTGTTTGGTAAAAGCAATGGCAATCCTGTAGGGAATTTGTTACCTACTGTACAAATGTAGAGAGACACATACTTTAGTTTACACCCTCAGATGACATTTCATGTCTATAGTTTTAGAGATGAAAAATATAAAGACATGCAGAACCTACCATTATGATTTTTTTGTAATTTTAGCTACCAGGTAAGCACAATTATATTTTTTATTTATCAAATCTAAGAAGTCTTTTTTACTTCTCAGACTTTCTTAAAAGAACATTAGTTGAATTGTGACTTAAGGGGTTAGCATACATTCGCTGGTTCAATTTTTTGGCCTCAATTTACAGATTGAAACATACATTTTACCCATACATGTTATATACTGTGGAATACTTTATTTTCGCTGGAATTAATTTTTGCTGAAAAGGCTTTTTGGGTGTTTTGCTTGGAATTTATTTTCACTGATTTTTGATGAGATTTGTGTAAAATATATGAAAAAATGTATATTCGCTGGATTTTATTTTCACGGAATCACCCCTTCAGCGAAAATAGCGAAAATAAATCCCAAGCGAAAATCAAGTATTCTACAGTACCATAATAAAGATCTTGTTTCAAACTTTGGAAATATGGCAATTTTTTTAAATTATGCAAATACAAAGTCACATGATCACAAAATTACGCGAAAATGGAGTAAAACAGTTAATGACGCAATTAATAATTAATTTGCAGCACGACTGAATATATTTTTTTATGTAAATATTATAGAGGGGTGCTTCATGTACAATTTTCTTCGTTTTTTTGCAACTATAATTTGTTTTTATGTAGCCTTATTTCAAATGTTTGGAAGTTAATACCTGAGTAAAAACAACATGTCTCTTTATAAAATTAAACAAAAAATCAAAACGAAGGCAGACAGAAAATAATCCAGGAACATTCCTCCAGTACTCCATATAGCGGTAAAGTTGACCAAAAATGGCGACGATCTGACCTTTCGTTTGTTAGAAATTGCGTACTGAATCTGTAGAACAACGTAGAAATCAATTTCAAGATAAACGCAAAAAACATCCAAGGTCAATGAATCTCAAACTAGGCCTAAAAATTTTGAAAAATATGAAGTTATAATTATTGAAACATGTCTGCCTAGCGACCAACTACGGTACTAAATAATGCCTTCTAATGTCGGGCTAAATGTTATACACGTTAAAGACAGGATGAAATATGTTTTGAAATCTCAGAACGGCCCTACCGTGTGTCAACCGACAACTGATGACTTCCCGCGAAAATGACGTAGTGATTTGCATATTACTAATATGGTGTGGAGGCGGAGTTATTCCAAATAAAGAAAATGGTTTAAGCCGTGTGCACAAGATATCTTCAAGTTTGTTTTGATTACTGTTCACTGTAAAACTGATAGTGAGGTACGACGTCGCAAGCGTGCAAACACGGTTTTCTTTTTTAGTAACCGTGGTGCGAACAAGAGCAATGACTTCGCCTTTTTTCGCTCGCTTTTGTGACCGCTTGTTGAATTCGACTGGACAATTTTCGCTTTATTTTCGATGGCGAAAACCCCGAAATATCACCGCCCGCTCGCTCGCAGAAAATTTTCGAGGTTCACATTGTCTTATAATTGTCTTACTGGTTTTTATAAATGTTGAACAGCCG